ATATATCGCAACCGCATTTTATCGAAAAAATAAATTATGTAAACTCCACAGTTGAATGAATCGTTCTGCCTATCATGATCCATCACCACAATGGTCTAGCTATCGGTATCGATGCCATTTTGATTATTTTCATTATAACTCTCCGCGAATCTCATAAACTTCCTTAAATAGCTCTTTCTTTCAGACACAGAACTTCCGAATGGGCTCAAGAAGAATACATTTTTTTTATTTTTCAAATCAGCTAAAGCTAAACAGAAATGATGGAGTTGGGGATTATCCTCCTTGTCGGATTAATGTTGAATAATAGGAAACACTATAATGACCGCCTAAATCTTAAAAGTCTTGATTGAGGAGATTCTCCGTCCGCATAAAAAAAAATTCTTGTTGCCATCATGTTGTTCACAATTTGATAAAATTCTGATTCCCCATTACAAAGCATATGTTAAAATGTATATCTACTATGAAATTCGTTAGCCACTCGTCACCCGATAAAATTCCAAAATCATCATTGGTTATTTCACGGACATCACAACTAAAAGAAGAAAAAAAGCTATGTGGTACCTATCTTTCCGATATCTTTATAATAATAAGGATCCGAAACTAACCCGTTCTGTAATATTTTCATTGGCCGATTCCTATTTTTAATAAGTTAAAACAGTCATTGCACTAGAGAATCGGTAACATGACGAAATTGAAGAAACGTTCAATTTTGGGCAGCATTTTCTTCCAGCAAAGGTTTTCCCTATAAATCCGTTCGATTTTTATACCGCAGAAAGTGAAAATAGCTAAATAGCACCAATCTCTATCAGTAATTTCAAGAAGTCCCCGAATTTGAAAATAATGAATGTGTTTTTTAGAAAGATTTCCTGACGTTTTCTCGCAATATTTAATCAAACTTATTTTGCATGCATCGATCGGATCAAAATTTCGACAGGAATATGAACATTTAACCTCCACTAAACCGTCATTAGAAACTAGACCATCGGGTGATCCGCCAATAAATTGATATTTATAATGAATTCGCAAACCAGACGAGATACATTTAGAATTCGTTTGTTGTTCGTACTGCGCAATAGCCCTTTCCTCATATTTAATTCCATATTTTATAGGTTCAGATTGGATATTTACCGGATTTATGATTCAATTCAAGATATCAATTGAAGAATCCTCCGATTTGATATAAATTTTTCCGAAATGAGATGCTGTCACCCGAATACATCTTTCCTGAAACCAAATAGATGAGTCCCTCTGACCTCTAGTCATAATCTCAATATCTGCCAATTCAGCTTTAGTTTTCAATTAATTTTTGTCTAGATAAGTTTTACATAAAGAACTAACTCTTGTACTGGATTCACTTAGGTTAGGAATTTTCAATCATGTTTGAATACCTTCATTATCATTATTTTGACAAAATTTACAAAAAATAACCCTTTAAACGAATCACCCTGCTCTTCTATACCCCAACTATCGCATCGATCACACTGTACCCAAGAAGCAGTAAATTCTGCCCTTTTTTGCAGTAAATGCATAAATCGACATCGGGGCCTATGTTGGACAGATACTAGGCTAGTTTCAGCGATGTTCCTAAGAAGTTGTTATGAGGTTCTTTAACCTTTTTTCTACAAATTTCCAGGTTGTACCTTACAACAACGTTTAGGGAGGATATTGAGATTCAATTCTTTCATAAGGAACAGAACATGTTTTCTCAACTTCCTAATAATATTGAGATTTAATTCTTTCATAAGGAACAGAACATGTTTTCTCAACTTCCTAATAATACGAGAGCTCCTTTGGCGCATAATTTTCTTCGCTAGAATATTTTAAACGACTCGGAACCATGTTTCAACAGGCGCATTACTATATCGTTCTTCGTTGCTAGACAAAATACCACTCCATAAGGGAATGAAAGGAACATATTCTTTCAGGAATTTTTGAAAAAACGTCACGTTTCGATATTCTTTATCCTCACTTATATCTGAATTCAACATATTATTAAAATTGAGGCAAATTTGTTTGAAGAACAAGCAAAATGATGTAGTCTTGAATGTGCGGAAAGAGTTGGTCTCAAACATTCTATTATATTATACTTTTAAATTCTCAACATTCTCATGACAACATAATTTTAATAATGAATGAAATTCACTTTCCAATTCAGTATGTTTTTGTCCGAGTTCGTTATAATGAAGAAACTTAAACCATTTGCAAACCTGTCTCCAATCATTTATATTATATGGCGCGCCTAAAATTTCTTTCAAGTGCGCTCTTACTTGTTGACTTTCATAAAAATTATCTACACCAGCTGTCATCAATTTGAACATATGGAAACAAAAAATATATATTTGAATTTTATTTGATTTTATTTTCCGGAAATGATATATTATTATGTATGCAATTGAAAGTTAAATTTATATACTCCTTGAATTCCATGCTATTGAATGATAAAGAAATGAAATTGAAAAAAGCAAAACTGAAATCCCTAACAACCTTGCTACAAATTGGCCACTTTTTTTGATGACTAACACAAAACGATCTAAATTTCAGTAGCCAAGCACCTATGCTCCCCTCCCCTCATCATGTTCTGTTAGAAATCATCTCTAATAGGGCACAAAATATATTTGATTGAGGAATTTGTCACCGGCTTAGTAGTACACTTAAGTGGTATAAATCCCGAAATATATTTTTTAGAGTTCTTGAAGTATAACTAGATATTTCTGTGGGAGAATCATCAATGAACAGAAAGTTTTAGATGAGATACAGGCGAAAATGTATGGAATTAAATAAATTTAATTCACCCTGTCTCCCCTACAGTGCTACAAATTCCAAAATATGTTTTTTCAAGTTCTTGGAGTATAACTAGATATTTTTGTGGCAGAATCATCAATGAATAGAAATTTTCAGATGAGATACAGGCAAAAATGTATTAAATGTAGTGAATTTAATTCACCGTCCCCCCTATGGTGTTACAAATTCAAAAAAAAATTGTTTTCAAGTTCTTGAAGTATAACTAAATATCACTGTGAAAGAACAATCAAGAAACAGAAATTTTCAGATGAGATAGGGACAAAAATGTAATAAATTTAATTCACCCTGTCCCCCCTATGGTGGCACAAATTCTGAAATTTTTTTTTTTAATTCTTGGAGTATAACTAGATATAACTGTAGAAGAACCATCAAGGAACAGAAAGTATCAGATGAGATACAGGTGAAAATGTATTAAATTAAATCAATTTAATTCACCCTGTCTCCCCTACAGTGGTACAAATTCCAAAATATGTTTTTCAAGTTCTTGGAGTATAACTAGATATTTCTGTGGCAGAATCATCAACAAACAGAAATTTCCAGATGAGATACAGGCGAAAATGTATTAAATTTAGTAAATTTAATTCACCTTGTTGCCCTTATGGTGGTACAAATTTCGAAATATTTTTTTTTCAGTTCTTGGAGTATGACTAGATATTTCTGTGGAAGAATTATCAACAAACAGGAAATTTTAGTTGAGATATAGAAGGAAACATATTGAATTAATCAAATCAAATTCCCCCTGTCTCCCCTAGGGTGGTACAAATTACTAAATATTTTTTTTCAAGTTATTGGAGTATAACTAGATATTTCTGTGGAAGAATCATCAACAAACAGAAAGTTTCAAATGAGATACAGAGAAAAATGTATCAAATTATATGAATTTAATTCACCCTGTCCCTGTATGGTGGAACAAATTCTGAATTTTTTTTTTCAAGATCTTGGAGTATAACTACATAGATATAACTGTGGAAGAACCCTCAAGGAACAGAAAGTATCAAATGAGATACAGGTGAAAATGTATTAAATTAAATAAATTGAATTCACCCTGCCCCCCCCCCCCCTATGGTGGTACAAATTTCTGTTTTTTTTTATTTTCCAGTCTTCTCAGTGTTTATCAATAGCCTTGAGAGAAAATTGTTCAGGAATAAGTGGTTTTGGAAGATATAATACAGGGTCGCTGATATGTATGGAAACAGGTGAATATCTCGGTAACCTGTTGTTGGATTTTTTTGAATTTATGTACTGTGTGATTTCAAAACGTAGCAGATTTGAAAATGTTATAGCCAATGTTGCCACTTTTTCAGTTATACCGGATTTTTTATTAACTTCCTTATTTTGAATAGAACACCCTGTAATTTATTGGATTTTCATATTCTCCCTTGGGGTCTAGCAGGAATGAATACATAGGTATAGGGTGTTTAAAATCTAGATTTTTCAACTTTAGTATTTTTTTGTGTCGAAACTATTCATTATCGATCAAAATCGCTCCAATGTCTTTACTTCTGATTTACTATCTACTGACATTTAATTGAAACAAATACAGGGTGGTTCAAGATTCAGAATTCTGATCACCCTCTGTATCTGTTCCAATTAAATAGTCAGTAGATGGTAAATCAAAAGTGAAGATAGGAACATTGAAGCGGTTTTGATCTCTAATTGATAGTTTCTACACAAAAAAATCTTGAAGTTGAAAAACCTAGATTTTAAACACCCTATACCTATGTAATCATTCCCGCTCGACTCCAAGTGTGATAGATTGATGAAATCAGCTCTTCAAGGAGAATCTGAAAATCCAATAAAGTACAGGGTGTTTCATTCAAAATAAGGAAGTTAATAAAAATCCGGAATAACTGAAAAAGTGGCAACAGAGGCTATAACATTTTCAAATCCGCCACGTTTTGAAATCACACTGTACATAAATTCAAAAAAATCTAACAACAGATTGCCGAGATATTCACCTGTTTCCATACATATCAGCGACCCTGTATAAGAAACACTATTTGATACAATTAATATTAATAATGAATATGGGACTTCAATATTCAATGAAAATTAATCAATATGCAATGAAAATGAATATCAAGCACTTCCCAAGACCATGATAAATGCCAGCCACACATTTCCAATTCCATATAGGCATTAGATTTCCTACATGAAAACGTGATTTGATGTGAATTTTATTTGAGATTTTATTATACCTGGTGTGTTGGAATTTCATCAATCTCATGAATATTTTCTTCTGTCCCTGTGAACAAAGAGAGCTTCTCATTTGTCAATGCTACAAATTCTTCATTAGATTGATTAGGATGTCCATTGTAAAGTGGTACATTGTCCAGGAACTGTTTGCATTGAACACATCTTTCAGACTTTGCCTTGGCTGGGGTTTTCAGGGCTTCACCAACAACCACTTCATTTTTGAAATTTTCCTCGAAATTTTCAGAACTGTTAGCCTGGATTTCTGTCTTGATCTTCTTGCTTGCCTGTTCCTCAGCATCATCAGGTACTTCTGTACACACCATAATGAGGACGTTTGTGAAACTTTTTTATCAATTCGAAAAATTGTCCTCTTTCTAGATCTCAGGTCCTCAAAAACAGGTTGTGGATCAAAAAAGTATTCACATGGAATATGGAATTACGATAATGAGTAAAGTGAAAGTGAGCACAGGGGTGGTCTGTGGAGCACAGAGGACGAAAACGAGTCTGGATCGGAAAATGAAGGGAATCCCAAACTCTTCAAAAAACCTTTTAAAAAATGTATTAAAACTCAAAACTGGGAAAAGAGCAAAACATTAGAAATGGCGGGAACACCAACAAACACCTGTAATAGCAAACAGTGTTGCCATAGTCATAGTGACATATGCATGAACACTAAGAATGCCATGACTTTGGACGAGCCTTCACATCAGTTGTTTATATTGAGTCACAGCGATCACAGCCGTCTTCAAGAGACGTCTGTGATTGAGTTCTTTGCATATCAAGGTCTATTTACTACTCTACTAAAAGTACTAGATATTTCATAAGATCAGGGTTGCCATCTTAGCGGTTTTGTTGCTAAATCTAGACTTTTTAGGGTAGGTGAATGCGACATTTCAACTTGATTTGCGACGTGTGTGTCAGAATTCCACCATACAATTTATATTTTCATTGTACACTATATATTTTTGCAATACACTTTTCTGTGTAGACGAATATAGAGTCACTGGATGGTATAGTCAAGGTCTATAATATTAACTTCAATAATAGCCTTGGGTATTAGTTAGGTGACAATTATGTGCTTAACAAAATCTTCACGTTACGGAACGTTGTTATTCTGTAGCTAACGATTGTTGTAACATGTACAGGATTTCTTGTAATGATCTGCGAAAACGTTGTCAGGACAATGTCAGGAAAAACGGACCGATAAAATATACGGGAAAGTGGAATATCGGAACATGCTCTCGAACATCTCACATGACACATGACATTCTTTGAATCATTGACAGTTGACACTTCTCTTCAATAGACATTTCACAGTCACACGTCACTATCTTTTATATCACCCCTATATACTCACACGTCAACTTCTTCGACTATAATAATTGGGTGTAATGTTTAATGAAGTAGTTAAATGACGAGTTTTTACTAATAAGATTATTATTTTGATAATATACCAACATGGTGAGTCAACCAATTTTCAACCGTAAGACTCGATACCTTCGTCTCAAGCAGTTTTGCTGATACAAACAATTTGTTTTCAGGTGCTGATAGCAGCAGCAGTTTGCACCAAAGCAGGCAAAAGTATTATGTTGTGTGAGTGTTTTATATTATTCCTAACATCAATAATGTTCCAGCTATTGTGTCTCGGCAGTTCGTTGAGATGACCAAAGCAAGAATTGAGGGCCTACTTGCTGCCTTTCCTAAACTCATACCAACAGGAACTCAGCACACTTTTGTAGAAACAGATTCAGTACGCTATGTCTATCAACCACTTGAGAGACTCTATATGCTGCTCATAACTACAAAAGCCAGTAATATATTGGAGGACCTGGAAACTCTAAGATTGTTTGCCAGAGTTGTAAGTTTATTAATCTATACTTCAATTTAACTTGGCCTTGATCTTAAGAGTTTTAACATTATTTGCAAAACTAGTTCATTAAATCATAAATCATCACAGCCCAGCTGCCTGTTCTTCTCATATCCTAAATTGGGTCACATATTCAATCCACATCTGTTTATTTAGCTTCAAGATACCATACTAAATATTGATATGCATTTTATTTTTCATTCTATAATCAGTAACTAAAGACATCTCTTTGGTTTAGGAGAGATGAGATAAATAAATAGCATCCTGTCAAATCCTGAATAGGGAAAAAACAAATATTTTTTTCAAATAAAGTACACAAACGAAATAATGAAATTTCAGAATTTTTTATATTGAATAGGAAATAATTGGTTGCTGTGATTTTTTTTGTCAAGTAATAGATAGATAGATCTTTATTGATCACCTTACATACATATAGTATATTAAGGGATAGAGAATAGGTACAGAAAAAATTACCCTCAAGTAGCTCCTATTCAGAAGACTGATGATTTAGAAGTGACCAAAAGACTGATGATTTAGATGCCACCAAAAATCATAAAAAAACGTGACCTTGAAGAAGCTTCATCTTAATGTCCTTGTCTATCAACCCATAATTTGACAATTATGTAGAGGAATCACCTTAATCTGATGGTTGGATTTTTTTTTGTGTACTGAATGGTATAAGTAAAATATAAAATATTCTGGGTGGGTCAGTTTTTGGTAGCAGGACTTCAACAGATGAAGAATTCACAATTTCGAGATGGAAGGCTCATTTAGACATACATGTTAGACCAATATAGTGTGGCAAAGTGAGAAAACGGCTTTGCTGTTTGAGATCAATGAACAAAAATTCATGAGATGGTCTATTCTCATAGCAGTACATTTCTGAATTATTTTGCAGTATGCAGGGTTACTCAAAAATGAGTGGTTTGTTGTATAGCACACCTTGTATTTTATTGCAATTTCAGATTCCTCCTTATGAGCTGATTGATAACAATATAGGAAGTTATATTTTTTTTTCATTTTCCTATGTTACCACAACTACATACATAGTTCCCAATGGCAGCAAGCACCACACTTAATTGATGATTTTCACTACTTTGGTGCAGATTAAGTTATTTTCCTGATCCCTGACTAATTGCCTTCAAAATAAGAAAAAAATTTACGGCGCTCAAGAATGTACAGGCGACGATTTTTTTTTTTTGAAATTTTGTGGCTCTCCCATTTCCTTATGGCATGCTCAAATCATCAGATTATTGAAATGCACACTTTTCTGCACGTAATTAACCTACCATGTCTTAATCTGATGCGCTCAAGTATTTCTGAGGATCAATTTTTGTTTACTAATCTGATCGGCTGCCCTAAACTTTTGACACCATATAAAGGGCCCAGATATGGTAGGAGTACTTCACAAGGTCCAAGGATACCCCCTTTATGTTAATCTGCTTAGCTTGAGTAAATCCTGAAATTCCTGCTTGGGCTTCCCTACTAACAGGTCAAGTCAATGAATATTAAGCTACACAATATAAAAAGTGAAAAAAAAAAGTTGAATCAAGATGATCCTTAAGCACAATATCAAAAAGCCTAAAATATATACTTATAAAATATGAAATGGACATACAGATTAAAAACCAGATATTTTTTTTTTATCTCTTGGAGCACAAAAGGGAATCCCTATAATGTCCAAAGAACATTGTGCGTTCCTAGGGAGGATAGGGACAGGAGGTAGGTATTGGACTTTTTTTTGAACTTTTGGAGATTATATGTTGTTGGGAATACTTCCACAGGCAATGAATTCCAGAGCCTAGCCGTTCTATGGATGAAGGAGTCTTGATAAAAATAAATGAATGCAATGGAATTGTGGCACTAGGTCTAAATATGTGGTTGATAAGTATTCCTCCATTGAGTAGAAGCACCCATCATTCAACAATTTTTTGATTACTTTTTCAAATTGTATGGGCAGTAGTTGTCTGTATGCTCTGGTAGTTAATTGAATAATTCAACATTTATAGTGTTCCTGGAAGATGTTAGTCTGAGTCTTGGCTTTTGCATCTTGTTACAATTTCTGGTGTGATGTGAATGAACATTGCTAGGGTAACTGAATTTACATGATGAATCCATCACTACCACTGCAATAGGTAGATTAGATGACAAATAATTACTCCACCACCTGCTTCATGCCACCTCCTGACTTGCTGATGCTGATTTTTGTATGTTCATAATTTATCTGAGAATATTCCTTTTCAACATTTTCATACCCAATCAGGGGGTTCAAACTTGAACGATGGAAACTTGTGATTTTTATAGACCTCTAATCGCAGATTGGTGATAGAGTCTCAATTTAGAATTTCTTTTCAAGCCCTGTATGATGAATGTTAATTTATCATACACCCAAAAGCAAAAATATTGAGAATTTAGCTCACGGTATTTTCAACGTGGAGCTATAATCCACTACTTTTTCCCCTTGTATAATAAACTAGCAGACCTTGCAAACGTTGTTTTGCTATATGCATTATTTCTATAATACATGTTTGAGTTCAATATTCATCAAGAAACTATATTATTATCTTATTTTCTACTCCTTTTTAGTTTTTCAAACTACCATTTATTTCAACTTATTTTTAGTTCACGTGAATTTCTCAATTTTGACGAATAGAATCGGAACATAATTACAAAACTCGTCCGCAATATTAGATCTACCATCTTGTTCCTAATTTTGACAAAGAAATCATAATTTTTGATCCCGAAAACGCCCACTTACAATTTTTGTATAGAACCGATATATAATTACAAAACTCGTCCGGTATATTGGTTCCACCGTCTTGAATTTCCAAATCCCGCCCTTTCCAAATTTTGACAAAAGAATCATTATATTCCACCCCGAAAACACCCTGATAACAATTTTGAAGAGAGTTGGATCATTATTACTCGTCCGCCATCTTGAATTTCCTAATTTTGACGAAATAATCATAATCTCCGACCCCGAGAACCACCAGATACCAAATTTGAATAAAATATGATCATTTTGGATCCGCCATCTTGAATTTCTTAATTTTGACGAAATCATAATCCCCGATCACGAAAACTCCCCACCAATTTTCAGACAAATCGATCCAGTAGTTTCGGAGCCCAATAAATACATACAAACAAACAATCAATCAAATCTTTCCTCTTTTAAATATTACTGTAGATAACTATTTTCAATCTTAACCGTGCGTGATCATAAGAATGGGATTGACGGTTTGCAAATGACAAGATTTCATTTTCCCCACACATACAGAGAAGTGCACAAAAAACGACCAGTGCTGTAACTCCTGTATCATTCTAGATCAGATCCTGAAATTTGGTGGGTAGCAAGTAAACTAAATTGCTCATTTTTGATCGCTTGGCGCGCACAAAAGGGAATCCCAATAATATTCGAGGAAGGGAAAGGGGGTAGGTGTCAGAATTTTTTATTTACTTTTGGAAATTATAAGTTCTTAGAAATACTTCCTCAGGCAATGAATTCCAGAGCTTTCTGAAGAACATTTCCGGTGGAAGTATCTATAGAGAAGTGAAAGGTCGCCGACCTTTCTACGGTGTTCCAGTCATGTTAAAGTGTTGATGAGTGTAGCATCACCCACCAGGCGAATGGCTCTTCTTTGGATGACATCTAAGAGCATCAGAGTATGTGTGGGTGCTGAACCCTAAATCATGAGAAGCTGACAAACCGATTTTTATTCTATGACCAACCCCATCCATCTATTGTTTCATATTTAGATTCAATGTATTGTTTTATACACATTAGAAACGTTTTTGATCACGATATATTCAGGGTTAGGGTTTGCTTCAGGTTGAAACGGATGAATTTTTTGTATCGAGCACCCAGTATACCGCATTCGGGTAACATCGGTTTATTCGAGCTCTATTTCAAAACGAGCATCCAATATCCCGATCGATTGTATGCTGCCAAACGCTTGATACTAGTCTACCAATTTTGAATCAGCAAAAGTAATGATCTATGCGAAAATAAGGAAGGAAAATATCCTTTTTGCACATGAAAAAACACTACTTTTTCTAAACAATCAAACCTAACTCGGCCTCGACTTTGAAAAAAGTATATTTTTCGAAAAATTACTTGGGATGACAATAAAATAAGTTGAACCTTGCAAGGATTGAACTCGAGCTCTTAGGCATGGCAGTCGGAGACTTAGCTCACTGTGCCAAGCGCTTATTTGAAAATTATTTTATATAAAGAGAACGGCAAGAAAGACTTCAGCATCTTGACTTCAGCCTCCAGCCGATCGAACAACGCTCGGACGTTGTCGTACTACCGAGCGCTGGATACGTGTCATTCCATTGATGGGGTAGTGCGTGGGAGTATTTGGGTAGTCCAGGTTGACATTGGTGGCTTGCAGGTATGCCCTCAGCCTGCTCCCGTTCTGGTTGTTTTGGACCTGGTTCCCCCAATCAGCATGTCGTGCGTTAAAGTCGCCTCCGTAAATAACTTTGTTGCCAGCACTAGCCAGTGCCTCCAGGTCTTGTACTGTGAACTTGTTTCTGGGTCTGTTGTACGCTGCGAAAATAATTTCCCCACTCCGCAGTCTCAACACTGCATGCTCGATTGAGGTTTGCCTTGGCGTTTCCTCGAATGGTCACCCATCCAAGTGCTAACTGCGCTCGACACTGCTTCACTTCAGATATCGAACGTATTAAAGTCATTTATTGCTTCTTCATTTTTAGTTACAACACATATTATCTCACACATTTCAATCAATGTTGGCACATCTGTAGGTGTGCAGCATCTGTAGCCTATTCACAAGAGTAGGTGAGATGCTCCAGAACACAAGACACGCGTACGTCATCACAGGCCTGATGACCTGCTTGTACACCAGGACCTTGTTCTCCTGCGAGAGTGCTGAGGTCCTGGATAACAAGGGGTACATCTTTTTTATGGCTGCTTGTGTTTTTTGAATAAGGTAGTTGATATTGGGCCTGAATGTCATACGAGTGTCCAGTTTAACCCCCAGGTATTTCACAGGGACCGTGTCCCTCACCTCGACACCTTTGACGGTCAAAGGTCTGTTCAGCTTAGAATCGTTGAACTTCTGATGGAAGTTGATAACTTCGGTTTTTGCGCTGTTTATACAGATCTTTGACTCGTCAAAGTAGGGCACGATTCCCCTGTCCAGATGAATTTGGATTTGCTGTCTGGCAATATCCGAGTCGGCTGAGTGTGCATATATCGCAGTATCATCTGCGTACAGTGCTCTGCTCGTCCGCTCGAATACAGGGAATTCGTGCGTATATAGTGTGTATAGTAGAGGTGAGAGGCAAGATCCCTGCGGAACACCTGCCTCGAGTGGAAAATCTCCCGATATACTTTCGTTGACCTTGACTCGGATTTTCCTGTTGGTAATATATGCATCGATAATCTTGATGATAAAAATCGCCACTCTTGCCTTGTGCAGCTTGGCCATTGAACCTTCGTGCCAGACGATGTCAAAGGCATTTTCTACGTCTATTTTTTATCGTTGTTGCTGGCCTCCTTAACCTCATGAACAATTCGGGCCACTTAGGACACAGTGCTGTGTCCCTTGCGGAACCCGAACTGTTCCTTTGGTATGAGGTCCAGCTTATCGACCTCTTGAGATATTAGTCGTAAGAGGACCCTATCCACGATCTTGGCTACGGCGCTAAGCAGAGATATGGGGCGGTAGCCATGTGTGGATTTTAGGTTTTTGTCCTATTTCGGGATGGGTACAACAAGCCCAGTTTTCAGGCATTCTGGGTAGTGCTGGCATCTTACGATAGCGTTGATGACGTGTAATTGCCCTTCTGCTTTGCGTGACATGTTTTTGAGAAGAACCATGTCCATATTGATGTTCAAATATCTGATGATATCGAAGATTTCTTTTGGCGATGTAATGCTTTTCCCTAGGGCCTGTCTCGAGAGCGGGATAGTGGGTTGTGCTCTTATTCGTGCGGCTGTTGCCGCCATGTCCTCCAGGACCTCACCTACTGGCTCTATTGATTTTATATATCTTTTGGAAGTGTCTCCCAAGCATTACCGCCTTCTCCGGATCTGAGACCGCTTCCTCGCGACCATACTCTATGGTTGGAATGGGGGTGAACTGTTTTTTCAATCTTATAGGCATTTTCCAGAGCGTATTGTCGCGAGGATCCAGACTCTCCAACTTGGCTCTCCAGGAGGAGTTCCTGAGCTCTCGGATTTCACATTCTATTTGATTACAGATCCTCCTGAAGGCGTCCCTGGCTTCCAGCGTTTTCAGCTGTTGCCAGCGGCGTCTCAGGATTCTCTTTTCTGTGAGGAGCTCTAGGATCTCTCCCGGGAGTTCGTCCTTGTTGGAGTCTATGCTGACCTGTCTCGTGGTGGAATCTCTAGCCCAGGGGATGTTATTAATGACAGCTTCCATCTCTTGATTTATTTCTTCCTTCTTTATGTTATTTTTTGTTATTGTTCTTTGGTCCAGCTGCGCTCTGAACATCCACCAGTTCGTGTTTTTGTAATCAAAAATCTTCTTTATTGTTTCGGGAGGTTTCTGTCCGAATTCGAACAGAACTGGCAAATGGTCAGAGCTCAGCTCTTCCACTACCTCTAGGTCAGAGATATCCACCACGTTCTTGGACAGCACTATGTCCAGGACTGTCGGTGTCATTCCATTGACGGGGTAATGCGTGGGAGTGTTAGGGAAGTCCAGGTTTACATTGGCGGCATGCAAGTATGCCTTCATCCTCCTCCCGTTCTGATTGTTCTGGACCCGGTTCCCCCAATCAACATGTCTCGCATTAAAATCACCCCCTACTATCACTTGTTACCAGCACTAACCAGCGCCTCTAGGTCTTGTTTCGTGAAATTGTTTCTGGGCCTGTTGTACACTGAAAAAATAATTTCCCCACTCCGCAGTCTCACCCCTGCGTGTTCGATTGAAGTTTGCCTTGGTGGGACCGCAGTGTGGGGGATATTGTTCTTAATGAGAACGGCTTCCCTCCCCCCATCTATCTGTGTTAGGCCGATCGACCCTGATCGTGGTCAAGCCTCTTACTCTTATGTTATGGTCATGACGGAGCTTGGTCTCGGACAAAAGTATAATGTCCAATTTGCGGCGATATATAAAATTACAAGTGACGGCATTTTGTTGTTGAGGCCGTTAATGTTAATAATACATACCTTAAGGCCGATTTGTACCATTAATCATATAGTTGCCGATGTTTTTAGAGAACCTCGTCACTATTTCAAAACTATCTCCCAAGGGTTTGTTTCGTCCCCAATCGCGATGTTCAGATCCCTCACGCACCTAAATACATCAGAAAGATTTACCTTCTACTCCAGGAGCTCGGTCTCTGCGGCGATACTCGCTATCGATATCGAACGGCTAGTGCCTTACCTGAGGAGCTAAGGTGATGCCCCTTATCTAACTGATACCATCCAGTGACTCTAGTTCCACCAACCCTGACCTCATGTTTCAGTGGCGGGTTTTGGTGGACAATAAATAATGTTAGCCCTCATCACTTGGCAATTAGATTCACCATACCTATCCTAATTATTCTTCAATTGGTTGATATTAAAAATATAATTTTCTTTGTTTTTCAGATTCCAGAATATTGTAGATCTTTGGAAGAAAGTGAAATTGCTGAGAATGCATTTTCTCTAATATTTGCATTCGATGAAATTGTGGCCCTTGGATATAGAGAAAGTGTGAATTTGTCCCAAATCCGTACTTTTGTCGAGATGGATTCACATGAGGAAAAAGTTTACCAAGCTGTTAGACAGGTCAGCCTAACCGTTTTTATGAGGGAATCCGAATACTAACGCTAAGAATAATAAAACTTGTAGTCGTCCACACAAACTTCATTACAAACTGCAATTGCAACATTCAGGGAAATAGGGAATACAAATCCAGAATTGTCTCCCGATATTTTTCGGCTGATATTACATCTAAAAAGAAATCTATAAACATATTCCAGAAAATGGATAATAATGGTGATATACTCCTTGGAAAGGGAGGGAGGGAAGGGGTAATTATACATATAATATTCAGATAAATATCAATTGATTATTAGTTAAGTTTACTGTTGATAGAAAATGTCAAACTAATATTTCGAAGCCTTCTTTATGTGATTCTACACTTAGTTTTAACAGCATCAGCATATTATGTATGGGTACAAACCCCTTATGTGGGAACAGTATTCTAAAACGGGCCATATCGCCCGACAAAAAGCTGTTTCCTAATTATTGGCTCAAGTACAATCAGGCATAAATTCTTTCAGCACAACTTCACTACTTTACATATCAAAAACAATGAAATACCCTATAAGGAAAGTGCTAGAAATCTAGGACTGATACTTGATTCCAATTTTAATTTTGAACCTCATGTGAACAAAAAAATATCACTAATGTATATGAAGCTGAAGTCAATTCACAAATTTAAATTCATATTGGATAAACGAATCAAATTGAAATTAATCGAAAGTCTATTATTTCCACAAATAGATTATTGTATCACAATTTATTATAAGTTTTTAACTAAAGAATATAAAAACAAATTACAACTTTCACAAAATGCCTGTATCCGATATGTACACAACATTAACAAATATGATCATATAACCCCTGTATATAACAGCAACAACATCCTGAAAATTGAATATCGTTATCAACTACTATTTGGAGTATTTTTAAAAAAAATCATAGATCATAATAAACCAGCATATTTAGCAGATTTTCTAACTCCACGTCATGAACTACATAGCCAGCATAACCTTAGGAACATTATACGATATAACATCCCACAGCACAATACCACCAAATTTGAATACTGTTTTGCCTATGTATCAATAGAATTTTTAAATAATCCAGAATACTATCTTAGAACTCAGAACAGATCTGTAGCTAGCTTTAGAAGAATATGGAGAGACTACCTTTTAAGTATTCAGACATAGAATGTGATAAAAACTTAGTCAAAAGTATATATTAATTAATTAATTAACTCTATTTTATTTATTTATTTTTATATTCAAGACATTGTTGTTTTCGTTAGTGTTTTTATGAATGTTAACCATCTAGATTTTATTATTTTGAGCTTTTTACTCATAACGAGTGGTGGTATGGTAGAACGTGTAAACGAATGCCACCTTTTGTGTAGTATATTTATATTATATTTATATGATGTAAGATATTTACACAATAAATGTTTTTCTATTCTATTCTATATCTGTGCTGTTGGTCATAATAAGCTGTTGAGGTGTAAATAAGTTTTCGGTACGGAATAAAAATTGTGGAACCCGATATAAAGCTCCAGAAAAGTATCTCAGATTGGATATGATTGAAATTTATGGTACATTCAGAACTACCTCGAGACCTCTATCTATGATCCCCAAATGACTTTTTCGCAATGAAACAACCCGTATATTTTTTTTTCTGATCTCAAAAAATCACAGAGCGGGAGCACCCTGCAAAACTTTTGATTAAAGGCCTTATTGTGGCATTCAACTTCCGTCCGCACATTTTTCTTTCATGAATAATACTCCCCATTTCCTTTGATATTGCAATGTGATTGCATTTTTATTGAGAACTTCATATTGACGACTTCAAATATCCTTTCTCATATTATGAGGTTAATAATTATAATAATAATAATAAATAAGTTTATTCAAAGAACATTTTCAATAATAAGAGTTATAAATATATAGTTTATTGAATACAAATACAAATCAATCAATATAATTGAATTACATATTTCATCTCATTTCAAGACACATGTTTTTTTATTGTTTTTATAATTTTATAGACTCAAGAGAGAGAGGCCAAAAACAAGATGCGGGAAAAAGCAAAGGAATTGCAAAGACAAAAAATGGAAGCTGCGAAAAAGGGAATCAAAACATCTTTCGGCAAAAGTGGCGGATTTGGTAGCACTACAGGTTATACTCCTGCACCGTCTGTTGGAGATGTTGCCAATGTATCAAATGACGTTAAACCAGCTTCCTATACGACAGCTCCTGTCCAGTTAGTGGTTTGAATTTTCTTCGCTATTTGAGAGTAATCTTGTTTTGTAGGAAAGCGAAAGGTATGAAACTAGGAGGGAAAGGCCGTGATGTTGAATCATTTGTAGATCAACTGAAATCTGAAGGTGAAAATGTGATAGCTCCAATGAAGAACAGTATTTCCCAACCGGGCACCAAAACTCCAGCCATCAAAACTGATATTGATGAGTATGATTTTTCACAAAATACATTATGCAGATTGTTTTTCTCATGAGGACACTTCTATATTTTTCCTCCATGCCAGGCTGGAAAATTTTGTAAACTGCTGGAAAATTAGAATTTCTATTTGAACTTGGATTCGAAATATTTTCAAAATGAAGAGAGATTGAATTATAGAATATGAAATCCTTGCTCAACTACAACAGAAGATATCATTTATTTATTTATTTATTTATTGAAAATGTTACTTCCAGTCAGAATCAAGTTCTGGTATAAGGAAGTATAGTTAACAATAATACCTAAAACTATACAATTATAATAAACTGATGAATAATAAAATATTTGAAAACATTAATTATTAAATTTTGACAAATCATTTCATATTGGTGAGCAAAAACAAGTCATCTATTTCGTTCAGAAATGATAAATTTTTTAAGATGGTATTTGAATTTTATTGTATTTCTGCAATTTTTTATATTATCTGGTAGTTTGTTATATTCCAAGAGAGCAGCGTGGGTGAATCTTTTTTGGCCTATAGAAGTATTAGCGATATCAAGATGAAATAAACCATGTTGTCTAGTTTGATAATTATGAATTTCATTGTTTCGTGTTAAAATAAAATTAGATTTCAATTTTTTATTTATGATATTGTATGTAATTTTCAGTCTTTCGATTTTGAACATTTCTTCTAATGAGAATGATTCAGTTATTTTATATAATTGATTTGTTGGTGTATCAACTAGGTTCATTACAATATTGCCAAAATTCATATTTCAAAATTTCAATCAAACATGTGAATTATAATCTTTCATTCTAAGATAATCAACGAAAATATTGTCATTGTCAAAGCACTCCAGTAGTATTTTTACATATTTCTCAAGCAGAAAGGCCTTCAAAAATATAAAAAGAAGCCGTTATTCAACTGAAATTGAATCTATCTTGTGACAATTCCGAAAATGGCTAATTAATGATAATTGAATATATGTATTGTCTCAATGAAAACATAATAGGATAAGTCACTTGAAACAATTTTGTCCAGTTCAATAATGTCGAAAACAGTTCTTCATAATCCAAACCAAGAACCATATACATTTCATTCTCTTTTCCATAGCTAGAGAAATGTGAAACTTGAAGTTTTTTTTCACTTCATTCACTTTGACGTATGAAACGAAAATAAATCCTACATTTTTCTTGCATATTTCAAGTATTTCAAACTGAACTTTAATTTTTCAAGACTTGAGATTTTATTTCATGTAGGAAGAAGATGATTTAAGTTGTTGTTATTATTAGAGGCATTGAGAAAACCATGAACAAATTCTAAATATGTCATCTTCAACATGTTTAAGTACAAATGTAAAAAACAATATCTTATTGGAAACCGAAACAAGCTTAGAATGCGACTACACTAAAATTTAATAGCAACATTCACCCTCTTGAATTGAGTGAACAAGTCAACTTTGTTATTTTCACGTATAATTACACCAGAGCTTTTTTTGTCTAAGTAAACTTGACTTATATAAATAATAATCATGTTGCCTGGCAATTTGACGAAAAAAACTGCCTCTGAAAAAATTACGAGTCCGTAGGATAGGTAATTTATTCTGGTAGTTTTTTGAGTTGAATTACCTAATGGCAACAGAATTCGAATTATAAATGCCAAGTTAACTTCGACTAAAAAAAAAAAACAAGATAGTAATTCGGTAAGACAATTTAATTCATCACATTCATCACATCAACATTTGTTTATGGCTGGTTGTCATACTTTCAAAAGTTAGGTTCCGTTATTGTCGCTGGAAAAGTTAAGGCAAACTTTTTTCGCTGTCATAATGACAAAATCACGCGGCTTCTGGGATTTCATACATGAATTAAATTGTGAATAGAACGTCATATATCATCTCAAAAACTTAATTTTTAAGTAAATTAATATGTTCAATGATAAGCTTGAATGGACCACACGACTTTCACATCCACTGAATATTACACGGTCCACAAACAAAGAATTGAATAAGTTTTTGAACAACATTGAAAATCTCTTTTTGTCTCTCATGCTTCAATTATAATTCGAGAATGAGCCCTATGCAAGAAATGTATCGTCATGTACACAAATTCGAGTACCTTGAGATATTTCATGATCTTACTCAGTTTTGTGTATTTACCTCAAATAATAATAATACTTGTAGTTCCTTGATGAATATTACATGTGGTGTACCGCAAGGATCAGTTTTGGGGCCAATTTTATTTTTAATCTATATCAACTCAATATCTACTTTAAAATTGAAAGGAAAACTAAAATTATTTGCAGATGATACAACAATAATTTATACTTCAAAAGATTTCAACGATATCAATAATGATATTAAAAATGATTTGAAACAAATATCATCTTGGCTAGTGACCAATAAGTTGACTCTTAATTATACTAAATCTACGTATATGTACATCTCAAAAAGAAAAACGGATATATTGAATAATACCCCAATATGTTTCAATAACAAATCCATTGAATATAAAAATGTAACAAAATTTTTAGGTCTATATATAGATGAACAACTATCGTGGACTCTACATATAGATCAATTGAGAAAAAAATTGAATCCTATTGCTGGTATTATATATAAAATTCGAAATTTCATTCCTGTTAGATACCTAAAGAGTATTTATTTCTGTCTTTTTTATTCAAATTTACAATATCTAATATCTATTTGTGGAAGTACAAATATTTCACGTTTGAAGCCACTCATGAAATTACAAAATAAAACAATAAAGTGCATTTTCAATTTACCTTTTTTAGAATCAACTGCGAATCTATACAAAGCTAAAGACTTGCTGTATCTAGTTTCATTATACAAACTCAAAATTTGTTGTTTTATTCCTTTTGTCAGAAAGGAATTGAAAATATCAAATTTGAATTTTAATGAAGTTAATACGATTCACGCCCATGAAACAAGGCAATTCAATTTATTGATAGCAAATAATTATAAGTCAAATTTTGGTAAACAATCAATATTCCATAATGGAATAATTTTGTATAACTACTTACCTAATGAGTTGAAAAATATAGAAGAAGCAGAAAAATTTAAAATGAAATTAAAGAAATATCTGCTCAGTAAACTTTAATAGTACTAATCATTCACAATTTGATTACTTGTAATGGATTATGATATTTTCATTTTATATTTTATTATAATTCTTTTTTTTTTAAGGAAAAAATAATTGTGCAATTATTATTGTTTCGATTTATTATTTTTTATAATATGTATGTTTTGTTGTATATATCCCTATTATAAACAATAATGTTTCTTGGGGTAATAAAGACAATCAATCAATATTGAATGATAAACAGTTTGTATGAATCTAAAAAATTCATAGTTTCAGAGTATAACAGTCTAATAAGAAAAAATGTGATTAATTGTTTATCGCTACTTCAACGTGGAAATCTAAGTAATCTGTGTCTAAGTCCCCGAAAGTTGGATTTGTGTCTCATTAGCGAATTGCAATTGAACCATGAGGATAAAAATTTCAGTTTCCGTTTGAAAAATAATGTATTATTTGAAAATAATGTGTAATCCGTTCAATGAGAGTTAACAATTTCAGTTTCATCAGTCTGCGCTACTGACGCTTGAGATCATTCTTGAGTTCTATGTATCTGTTAAAATTTCTGCTGTATAGCACTCATGATTATGTTATGCACTATATGATTATTGTTATGGTTTAGATTAGGCAGGGTTGGGTTTTTTACTTCTATGAAACATCAAACGCAACTTTCACGTTAACAAAGAAGAAGATATCCTATAGTAGAGACGAAATGAAACGATAGAAGAAGTATATATGTTATCAAGACGCGATCTGGTGAACAATGGAAACATGATCCTCATTCCGGGTGTTCGAATTGTACAGTGTGTCCAGTTTTCGATGCTTTTGCGTGATATCTCAGTTATCTTTGCAGGTAGAACCTTGCAGTTTTCACGGTTCTTTGCCACTTTTTTGTGAAACTCAAGATGGCCTGATCAGATTTTGCATAACTCTACGAAGTTTCTCAGCGAGAATGTCAAATTGAAATATCATCCCATAGAGATTTTACGCAGAATCCAGTGGCGCACTCAATTGTTTTAGGGGTATCGTTTTGGAGACAAGACTCAAACTTACGATTTTTCAAATGGAACACCCTGTCTTTTATAAGCTCATTAAATCCCTTATTTTTTCCCTTCTAAATGATATATAATGTATAAATATACAATTTTCAAAAATGCTCCAGTATCACTAAAACATTGTATTTCAATAGTGGCTAAGGATGTTTCATATAAAAAAAGTTCCAATTGAAGGAATATTTCTTTTGATTTTTCCATGAAGAGGACAAAAACAATACCAACACTAATTAGTTAACAAAATACAAAATTTAGGTACCTGGTAGCAACAAATAAATAGTAATAAAAAGTTCATAATTTAGAATAAGCACCTGATTAAATATCTACTGAAACAATCGAATTTCGAAATTATTCAGTAACTTATTCATTGAATGGGCGTGTACACCTTAGTAGAACTTTAAACTCAAACCATGTTTATAATGATCCTTTTATACATAAATAATGATTGACGACATATATAATTCGATCCAAAAATTAACTGGAATGTTTTATTTTTGGACATAAATAATAGTACCTTCTGAAAACGGACCCTCTTATGACGTAGAAACCTCTTCTCGCCATAGTTAAAAGAAAATACCAAATGCCCGACGGTGACTGAGGCAACTGATATATTAATTCTTTCAACTGTGATCTCGCGCTAATTCACTCTGTCAGAAATCATGTATCATTCATCTCTGTCTGGAATACTTAGTCTTGTTTCAGTATTAGGGCTTTGACGTCACATCATCGCCTCGTTTTCAGAGGTCCGAAAAATTGGGGATTTCAATAATTTTTTATAAAACGTAGGGAGCTCACAGCAAGAAACGGTTTGCGGTGGTGAGCTAGTGTGGGTGAGTTCTATCGAATTATGAAATAAAAATGTTTTGTGATATAAGCCCATTGTTCAAATTGATGTCCATTTTCCTTAACACACAATTGACACACTTTCTCAATACTTCTTGATACAGTAAGAGGCACAAAAATCTTGAAGTACTTGGAAGAACTTGCAACAAGGCAGTTTTCCAGGAATTACTTCAATAATTTTGAATGCAGTTAGACATATTGATAAAGTGTGTGAGGGAAAATTGAACAATTCAATGATTAAGTTACTGAATAGTTTTGAAATTCGATTGTTTCAGTAAATATTCGATCAGGTGCTTATTCTATTTTATTATTTATTTGTTGCTATCAGGTACCTAAGTTTTGTGTTATATCTGTTAATAAGTGTTGGTATTGTTTTTGTCCTCTTCATGGAAAAATGAAAAGAAATATTCCTTCAATTGGAAAACATTTCATATGAAATATTCATAGCCCACTATTAAAATTCAATGTTTCAGTGATTTTAGAGCATTTTTGAAAATGTTATATTCATACATTATATTGTATCATAATGGAGGGAAAAAATAAGGAATTAAATGAGCTTTTAAAATACTGGGTGTTCCCTTTCAAAAATCATAAGTTTGAGTCGTATCTCCAAAACCATACCACAATAAAAAAAGTTATTGCGGCACTGGATTCTGCGTAGAATTCGATATGGAATAAGATTGCATATTTTTGCTGAGAAACTTCGTAGATATAGAAGGGGTTCAAAAAGTATAAACTTTCAAAATCGACCTGCATTTCATAAACGGAAACAGTTATGCAAAATCTGATTAGGCCATCTTGAGTTTCATAAAAAGAGTGGCACAGGACCGCGAAAACCGCAATAAGGTTCTATCTCCAAAGATAACTGAGGTACACGCAAAAGCATTGAAAAGTGAACACACTGTACTGTTCTTAATAAATTTACATATACTCGATGGTCCAGAACTGTCTCTCGATGTTTCTGGGACTGTTTTTACATCCAAAAACATCCTGAAATGGGATGAAAATCATTCTCTCAATCATCTTTTCCGGTTATGAGCTATTTTCATGGGATAACTGATATTGCTAATATTATAGTTCAGCATTATCGTTTTTATTTTTTCAACATAATTATCTGGTATTTTGTTCAACTCCATTAGAAATAAAAAAATCATTCTCATCGAATTTCCATGAAACGAACCGTTCTCTAGTAATTCTCGTTTCAAGTTTATAATTTAGAGTGCATTAGTTGTTTAATGTACTATCATGGGGAACATTCTTGACAAATTTTTTCTCGGGAATCTGTTATGCATGTCAGATAACCTAAAAATCGATTTTGGCACATGTCACGTGAGTACTGGTATGGCGGAAAACTGAAAAACATCATTATTAAGATGCATAAAATGGGGTTAGATGGCAAGATATCGAGAAAAGTTGTTCGAAATAGTTATTTTTGTATCTAGAGCGCGAAATGCTCAACTATTTTTTTAACTCGGCGTAGCCTCGTTAATAAAATCAGATCTCGATCACCAAAATATTTCGCGCTCGAGTTGCAAACAACATTTTTTCTACAAACGTCAAAAGTAAAGTTCTAAAGTAAAAATATGCTCAGCTTGATATAAAAAATAGTGTTGAACTGGCTCAAAAGGCCTCCTATCCTCTCTAAGTATACACGATGATCCACGAACATAATAGGAATTTCCTTTCGTGCGCTCCAAGAGATAAAACAAAGTTATTGTTGAACATTCAGAAATAAATGATTTCGTGGATGTTTGCTTGTTTCGCGCATTGTTTTGTGCAAGGTATCATGGTAACGTAGGAAACTGAAAAAAAGCGTCACTTCTAAATTTGTTATCAATGCACGAACCTTGTCATTTTTTGACGTTCGTAGAAAAAAACTATTATTTCAGAGAATATGAATTTTTTTCCTTGCAATTTCTTTTCTCCTGAATTGGTTGACAGTAGTGATACAATTGATACAAGTTAATTAAATTATTATAGATGTAATAATGCATAAAATTTAAGAGGCATATGGTATTCAAGATTAATTGTGAAGTGAGACGTTCATTCACGATTATCATATCAAGTAATATCAATATGTATTCGATATTCGAGATAATTGAAGAACAGAGTGGTATTTTGCTAGACTATTTCAACTTCACGAAGCATAAAAAGATTTATTATAACAACCATAATTATTTTATGCCAAACTGACAGACTTTGCTTCGCTATCCATGGTTACATCTAGACATTGCTTTGCTATCCATGGTTACATCGTTGAAAACATCAATGCTGATAGACTAATCTGAATTGAAAGACAGCTAATGTGTTCGCGATAAGCACAGGTTGTTGTTGTTGGCTTGTGATTGGTCAGATTATGTGATGAGTGAAATAGTCCGTGAAACAAGTCATTTTTTGTCGAACCTAACCAGACAAACCAGGTTAACTTTATCATAACGTCACGGTTTACTTGTGGTGTGGGGCTTGACAGATATCAGCTGTTATTATTTATGTATTGCTAATTTCCCTCTTTGGTTTTAGTAGCCATATATTGAATGAGAAATTCATCATTTGTAACAAAAGATACTATAGATTATAGATAAATGTTAGGTACTTACCTACCTACTTCAAATCCAAGAAACTCTTATCAACTAGCTACTTACCTATTTTCAATGAATCAATTATTTGAAAAGGAATATTCTCCGATAAATTATGAACATACAAAAATGGATATATATTTATATGAAGCAATACATTCAGAATTCGCATTCTCTATATGATGAGAATACTCTTTTTCAGTTTATTCAATAGAAAACAACTACTTTCCTGGCTATATGCCACGACGAATTGATTGACGATTGAATTATATCTATTGAACACACACGATAAGAGTTTGAAAATAAAATATAAAAACGTCTGAAATTGAGAATTTGCATTATCCTTCAGACAAAAATATGTATATGCACACATCAATCTGAATATTCAACAGAAAACAACTACTTTCCTGGCTATTTGCCACGTCGAACATTGAATTATATCTGATGAACATTCAAAAGGAGAACATGAAAAATAAAAAATAAAATCCTCCGAAATTGAGAATTGACATTCTTCTTCAAACCGGATGAATAATATGATGTTTAATGATATAGAGATATAACTTACCAATATATTCAGGATTTTCATTGACCAGATTATAATAACATCAACAACAAGAGTGAAATACAAATTCAGTGACCAATCAGAAGCCGTAATCTCAAAAAATCACTTCAAGGAATTCCAGAGCAATATATTTCGAGATATATTTTTCAAGAAATAATTGGAATGGACCATTACAAGCAACTTTTTCAAATAACCTTATACCCATTATAAGCATTATAAGCAACTTTTTCTAATAACCTTTTTCGATATATTGCCATCTCACCCCACTTTTTGCCTCTTCACAGTATTATTTTTTTCAATTCACCGCCATACCAGTAATCAAGTGACATGTGTCAATATCGATTTTTTGGTTATCGTACATGCATAATTGATTCCCGAGAAAATGTTTTTATGGATGACAGACACTGTATATACCGAGAGGCAATATTGGACCACCGTGAATAGATAGATACAGCATTATTTCGTCAAGAATATCAAGATGCTTTACTGATAGAACCAACGTGATTTTTAGCGTTCATTTGAGATTGGAAGAGAAGTTGGTAGTAAGATTGGGTCGTGATGGCGGAATCCAACAATTTGAATTGTTGGGTCTTGTAACGTTACATATTGGAGATGAAAGGTGGGGACGAATACGTGTGCAATTGGAGAACCAGAATTCTCACGGGGTGCAGCTTCAGACACATCCAAATGTTGATAAGGAGCTATTCAAATTACGTTCTCAGGTAAGTGAATCTACATGTATTTGAGTGAAAACCTGATATCACGACATGGATCATTCGATTAAACTTTTCAGAACAATTTCTCCGAAAGATATTTATTTTGTTTTAGAACCTTTCATTATCTATTACCTATACACGTAGAGAAAACTCGTGAACTAATAGAATTCTTGCACATATTGACCAGCTGTCTTCCATATCTTCAATACAAATCCAATGCTGGCCTCTATTCAAACCTACCTCTATATTGTCATCTCAATCCTGCTTACATATCGATGAATTTATTATCTGTCACGTTCTCATAATACCTACTACCTACCGATATTCTATATATGGTATATCTTCATGAGTTAACGTGATATATGAAAAACTCAAAGTAGCATGATCCTGAAAATTTCTAGGGACTGGTGATAGAAATATAGAGAATCGAACTAAAATATTTTAGTTATTGTGAATCTTCCGATTGCACCGGAAGTCATCTTCGTTATTTTCAATAGGACACTCTGTAGTTTACAACATTTTTGAATTCCTTTCATTATCATGATTCAAATCAAATTCATGTACTATATCCAATTCCTAAAATTAACCGTTTTTGAGTTATTCGAGTTTTTCTAGAAAAAGTGGCATGCAGAACATCAAACATACACCATTTTCATGTTAATAGAGCAGGTAAGCTAGCGTTGAGAGAGAAGGAAAAGGTCTTTCCCATCTGTCCTTGTCTTCAGTGTTCCAACATAAAATAATGAAAATTCTATGTTGGCAACACTGCGAATGAGAAGAAATGGAGAAGGTGAACATTCTAAGCTTCATCTTCCTCGTGTCTTTAACGTCGGCCTTTTTCTGCTACTGAGGCTAATCAGCGACGCCGGTAAGCACACTACCCCCAACCGGAAATTTTGCCGAATCCTATGGCGTTCCAGGGGTAGGGATCTTCAACGAGTCCAACATCCATGACCTCGGGACCGCCGGCTTAACGTCCACTCCGAAGGACGGCATATCCGTACCATATCTTGTGCTCATGTGTGATATATGGATTTCGCTACAGATGTGGGGGCTTACGCGGCGTTTCCTCGAATGGTCGCGCTCGACACTGCTTTACCTCCGATATCGAACGGCTGGTATTGTAGTAAACTCGTTTATTTATTTGCATAATATTTACAACACACATAATCACATACATTGTATATACAGTCTGTCCTAGTCCTAGATAAGGTTGAACAGCATGGGGATCTCGAAAACGGTAGGAGATACGAAGTCGGTTAAATGGGGAAAGAGTTGCGCATTTGGAGGCTCATATCAAGAGCCTTCGAAAATTTTTAAAATTGTCTCTAGTTTTTGAGTTATATCGAAAAAAGTGAATTTTTGGAATATCTATTCTATTTTTTTTCTCCGTTATTATTAGAGATACAGAAAAACTGAAAATACTTTTTCATAGCAACTTTTGATGACGTTTAACGTGGTGATACCGATTTTTTATGCGACGTTTCGTATTCGTAGAACCATCATCAACTTTTGTTTTTTTAAATACGGTCTTGATAATTTTTTCACAGATTCTAAAAGGTTTTTTTATTCTGAATTCAATCATGTATTATACAAGGTGGTTTATGTGGTTTCGACCTATTTTTAGCCATCATCAATGTTTTTTCGAAATTCCAAAGGAAAAATGCCATCAGTTCCACTTACTCTGAAGGAAAATTAGTCAACACACTAATACCTCATCCACTGGTTTCAATCAACAACTCATTTCATTTTGCGGAAACAAAAATTCCATCCATACAAATTCAGAATATGTCAAGCGCTAAAACCAGGCGATGACGAAAGGCGTAGGACATTCTGTGAGTGGTATACCAGGAAATTTTGCAGATTTCGTTCGAACAATCATCTGGACTGATGAAAGCATGGTCACTAGTCATGGTATCTTCGACAGAAAAAATACACATTATTGTTCACGAGAAATAGTTATTTATTATACAAGGGAAAAAAGTAGTAGATTTTAGCTCCAGGTTGTGTTGTCTCCCGACGCGTAGCGGAGGGAGACAAAAAACCGTGAGCTAAAATCTAATATTTTTCCCGTGTATAATACACTATTTTTTTCTGTGACAGAAGGAAGGACGAATCAATATTGAGAAGATATTACATTATTTCGAAATCTGAAAATTATCGACGTGAAATTTCAAGTTTTTAACAGTAGGGACACCTGCGTTTTATAGGCATCTTTATCATTCTTTTGAAGTAATCAAATATCTGATGTCACTTCTGTCAGTTCAATTCTGTGATTTGATTCTAAAGAATTGCGAATTCAGTAGTTATTTAGTAATATACGAAACCGCGAAGTCGAATGGAAGATAAAAGGACTTGCAGTTCTTTCTCGGAGACGGTATTATTGACTCATTTTTCAGAACTATAGCACAACATAAGCCATTAACAGAGTATATATATGTGATATATATCCGGGAAAGAAGTACTCACTTTTTTCCCACGGGAAAAAAGTAATTCATGAAAAGTGACATTTTATAACCTGCCAACAGAAATGAAATGCCAAACTTTTTTCCCGTCACAGAAAAAATGAACATTTCTTCATTACAGCGAGACACCAACACCGTTTCGGCTTTAATATGTGGGTTGCAATATTTGGTACACGAATTATTGGTCCTTTTATTCACCATGAAACACAGACTTCCGAACGTTATAGAAATTTGCTTGAGAATCATCTTGAGAAAGCTCTGGATGATTTACCGATTGCGGAAGTTCAGAACTGTTGGTTTCAACAAGATGGCGCTCCGGTACATATTTCCAGAGGAGTCCGTGCGTTCTTATCCAGAAAAATGGATTGGTACTCATTCTACAGTCCCTTGGCCGGCGCGGTCGCCTGATTTGACACAGCTGGATTTAGGGGATATATCAAAAACTTTGTATACGCAAATAACTTTGATGATGATGAAGAACTAAGGGACAGTGTCATCGAAGCATTCAATAGAATAACCCCAGAAATTCTTAGTAATGTCTTAGAAGCAACTGTGAGAAGAGGATATCTGTGTTCAGAGAATAATGGTCATCATTTTGAACATTTGTTATGAATGTTTCTGTAGGTATTGTCAAAGTTAAGTTGTAGTGTGCCAGAATAGATACTGGTAATATTATGATCATTTTAGTTCTAATGGACCTTATGTGTATGCAACCCACATTACATGACATGTGCATATGTGCCTGGTGCCTTAGTGACAAGAGTGTTGGTGACCTTGGGAGTTTAACGCGGGGTTTTTGCACATTGTTTTAGGGTGTTAGATAGAGAGGGTTTGGAGTAGTCGTCGATTGGCATTCGTCAACGATAGACGAGTCGATGTTCTTGTAAAGTTTTGCGTTTGGCCATTGTATACCGGCTGACTGTTGTAGTATTTTGTTCATGTTCACATCGTCTGTGACTTGGAATAAAGAGTTTTGTATCTACTTCGATTGATGTATTACCTGAACCTACATAACGACCTGAGATATTGCTTCATATACAAGAGTATCATCGCATTTTGGCGCACCAACGAGTGGCAATACAGAGGAAATCGAATTTAGATCGCAGTGGACTGTGGAGTACGTAGTGAAAAAAGTGAAGCCGGTACGGTAGTGCAGCGAGATATTTTACGGAAAGTGTATTGTTGTGATGCAGAAAGCACAAAGCAGAATACAGGGTGCTAAATAGTAAGAACATTAAGAACAAGTTAGTGGTGAGTGCAAGTGCGAAGTAAAAGGGTTAAGCGGAAGGAATTTGGCGCGGAACGCGGCGATCGCGAACCGGCGAACGGCATAGCAACAAGAAGTGAAGGTCGAAGGAGTTGAAGCGACGAGAAGAGACGACGTCGTAGCGGGACGCAGTGACGCAGGGTTGAATTTGGCGGTAAAGCCAAAGTAGAGCAGCGGACGGCGGCTTTTCGGATCAGCGATAGTGGGTGGAGCGGATGCCAGCGGAAAATAGTGGAGCGGATGTCAGCGGATGATAGTGGAGCAGCAGGTGACGAAAAAAAAAAAAATGTGAAAGGAGTGGAAGGATATTCAAAGGTACTCTTTTACGCTTATTTTCTGCATGATCTGGAGAGTAGGATTTTCTGAGGACTATACGAGGGATTATTATAAGAATAGAGACTTTTCTGATATTGTAGTAGGTATATTTAGATTTTGAAGATGGGTAGGGGTAAAACCGATGGTAAATCTGAGGCTAAGAGTGAGAGTAGAGGAGATTTAGATAAAAAAGAAAAGGGGGAGAATAGTGATGAATGTAGTAAGCCAAGAGTTAGTAGTCAAGGAGCTCAGGGAAGTAAAAATCAGGATGATTGTTATTTAGAAAACGTAGTTTTGAGTTTAGCTGATGACTTGAGAAGGGTGCAAACAAGTGTAGCTTCAATAAAAAATAATATATATGAACATGAGAAAATAATAGATGAGAAGATGATGAGTAGAAATGAGAGAAATGACAGGCAGTATATGCTATTATGGAAAGATTTGGGGGGTAGTGCTTTATCATTTCATCCGGGAGGCACAGTTCATCCGATGTATTTTTTGAAAAAGTTGAAAAGATTAATGGAAGATGCAGGAATACCAGAGGTGGCTCGAGTAAGTCTAGCTGTAGGATGTTTGAAGGGTTCAGCTGCGGAATGGGCGGAATATAAGGAAGAATCATTTGGAACGTTTCAAAAATTTGTGGATTCATTCAAATTGAGGTATTGGGGGGTGGAGCAAGAAAGAGCTCTGTTTTTTGAGATTAAATATGGCAGATTTTCGGGGGGTAGTAGAGCTGATTATTTCCTGAAATTAGCTAGACAGTCATGCTTTCTAACAGATAAGGTTTCTGAAAAAGAACTTGTTGAATATTTAGCACAACATTTTTCTAATGAACCAGAAATTAGAAGGGGAATAATATTGAGAGGGTTGAGTACTGTAGATGAGGTAGAAGATTTCTTGAGAAAAGTGGATTCAACGGACCAAGTTAATACAAATAGGGACAGTGATAGGGGGGTGCG